AATAGCACTGCCTTTTTTTAGTTGCAATCACTAAGTTAGTTATTAACTTCTTCAGAGGTTTCAAAAGATAAGAGCCATTAGTCTTAAGAATTGACACCTCATTGTCACCTTGTGCATGTCACATGGCAGGATGCGCCAAATGATCTTGCGACGCAACCCCATGAGCTTTATGATTTTTGATTGTCGCCTCACATTTTTATTAGGTATTATTAAGTTAAAATCTCCTAGTTCATCCAATTCATCTAAAACTATTTAGTTATATTTAACATACGGTAAATTGATTACAACATTAAATTTTATTACAAAAAACAACGTTAAATAATTTCATTCATTCATTTTTAATTCAATGAATGAAAAATTTTAATAAATGAAAATTTCCAAATCTAAAATAAACAGATTGTTGTTACTCAGCCAATGATATTATTCAAATGTGCTTTAAATGATTGGTAGAGAGATATGATCTTGAATTTAATTTAGCCAAAAGCACTTAAATTTAATTAATTAACGAATAAAGATGTAAGTTGTTATTTGTTGGCATAACTACAACTCAAACGAGGATGAGAAAATTATGCCGTTAGAAAAGCAATCATTCCCAACAAATACAAGAACAAATATTGTCAAATGAATGAGGTGCACTTCGCTCATTCAAATGTTTCTTTTCTTTTAAAGTTTCACATTCCTTGAAAATATGTCAAAAAAGAAATAATTGATAGGAAACTGTTGTCCAAAATATATAGAGTATGCAATAATATCATATATTTATAAACGAATACGATTTGGACAAATTATAAAAAATAATATGTATATAAACAAAAGAGTAGGGATAGAGATATGCTTAGCCGAAAGAAAACTAGCAATTTCACCCTATTAATCCTCTGAGGACCAAATTACACAATTTTCTCCCATGAACTCTTTGTGTCAATGGATTTATTGATCCAAAACTTGAGATAATGGTTGTACCCCAAAAAAGATTCATATGTAGTTATGCTTGCAATGAACTCTGTTAATAGTAAACTAGGAATAGAGACAAGGTTTATGTGATCGGAGATAACAAAAGGGAGTTCTCATACCGATCCCCGCTACCTTACTCAAAATAAAAAGGAAGCTAGGCTAGTAAAAACAAAAACAAAACCAAAAAAAAAAGAGAGAGGAAAGGGTTCGACTTCAAATCATCACCTACTCCACCTCCGGAGATCGTTAGGGAGTTATGCCCAATCCACTAAACTTGACCTCATACAAAGGTCGGTTTATAATGGAGTCGACTCTACAAATTGGGTGCACTCATTCGCAAAATATTTTTCACACAAGTTCAATCCTTCATGAGTTATATTGCAAAGTATGTATGAGAGCTTTTAGCAAGTGCATGTAGTGTTCTCTATACGCTCAAGCAATGGGTAAACCTATTTATAGAAAAACGAGCTTGACTAGCCACTAGACACATTTCAAATGGCTTGACATTCGATCGTTGAGAGTTCCTCGTGTCCTGCCAAAAAGGGCACGGACACCCATTGGAGTAGGTGGACTAAAATCAAATTTAGACTGCATGAGTTTGGGATCCAAAGATGAAGTTGCCGGTTATCTGGATGGCTAGGTGCCCGGCCATTACTTGGCTGGGTACCCTAGTCCAATTCTTCAGAGTTGAGACGATCTTTCTACTCTTTTGAAATCCTGCAAAAAATACATAAATGCCATAGATATAATTCCCAATAATCAATAACGTATTTGAGTGAGTTTTGTAGTGATGCAAATTAAGGTCAACAATCTCTCCCTTTTTTTTTATAATGACAAAATAACATTAGTTTAAACAAAAAAATTCAACCAAGAAACTCTCCCTAAACATATTTATTGGGGGAATCAATAAAATTCCTTGATACAATATAAGTTCTAAGCTGTAAGCTCTCCCTGCAAAAATGCTCATTAATTGAATTAAATTTCACCCACATTCTGTAAAATTTTAAAACTCCCAATTTCATCGGCCCATTAAAGTTTGGTGTTGCATTTGCCGTAGCTACATATTGATATCGTTCACTTTAAAGAGTTTAGTAAAGACAAGACTAAAGATTCAGAGCATAGCAAATCATAAAGGGCCGGCGGGGGATACATGACCCAATTACAAGGTAGGCAATTCATCCGTCGGGCCTTAGCAATCCAGTCCGCAATTTTATTAGTGTCGCTTCTGCAGTGGGCTAGAGAAGGCCCTAGAAACTCCTCACAAGCTTATAGGTCCGGTCAACAATTGCTCGTACGTCCCATTGTGGCTGAACAATACCAAGAACACTTTATGATTTGCTATGCTCTGAAGCAAATCATAACGTGTAATAGGTGTTGTTTAAATGATTGACTAGAATGAGAGCCGTGCCATGCACTATGATATGTCTGATATACTTGCCATATGAGAGCTGATATTCTAGTTAATTTTGAATCACATTAAATTAAAATAAAAACGAAAAGCCTTCATATTGCATAAACACTTCTAATACATCATGTTAGCATAACTATTTAGATATATTTTATAGATAATTAAGGTTTTAGGGTGTATAATTGGGTGTCTAATTGGTAACATTTAACTTATGAATTCACGTAGGTTTAACCTATCCAAGAAATGTGTATCAATTAGCAGTATATATCAACTTGATGGATGAATTGTTATATTAACTAAATTTACTGATTGTAAACACTACAAATTAGAACACGACCACGTCATCTTATGGCTGGAACAAATATTAGGAACCAAGCAAATGAATGTTTTCGTTAATTCTTGCTAGAATAGTAGTAAGTATCATTTTTGTATATGACAGGCCAAATTATAGTATTTTTTTCAAATAATGAAATATCATGCAAAATTTATTTTTTCATATTAAAGTTTAAGGTTCAACATGTTGCTTTTGACATTCAAAATTGAAGAAAAGAGTGAGTATCCAGTTTCCCATATTGACTGAATATTGACAATTATCATCGACAAAATATGTAAAATAAATATAAAAGTTGGGAACTTTGAGTACCCAACAACTCCTACCAACTTCAAAATTAAAAGGAAAATTAAGCTAAAATCCTAAAATGCCACTTCAATTCCCACTCAATTAATTTAATATTTGTAGAATTCTATCTTTAACATTTAGATTTTGAAATTAAGACTTTCCTATAATGTTGAGCACCTATGGGAAAAGCATTGTAAATAATAGGATTTGACCTGCACCTCAATTTTTTCATCCAATTTGTTTTATCCTTATGGAAAATTGAAAAATGGACTCTTCAATGTAGCAACATAGTAACAATTTGAACATTGAAACTACCTCAAACTTCCTTTAATACTGCTTAGTTCGCTAGAATAGCTCTATTCCTCATCTATTTCTGATGGAGCAATTATTCTTTTGTTTGGCTCAAACATAGACTAACAAAAAAGGATTTATGTTTAATGTAACGTGTGATACAATAGGAACCCAGCCAATCAATACTCGACCCATTCCATATCACTAAAACACATCCATATCTAACCCATCTAGAAAACCACATACCCACCCACTTAATCCATTTGAAGCTTTTCATGTAAAAATTCGATAATTTTGTTTATCGAATTAAAAAAAAAAAAGTTTGTCAAATACAATTCCAACTCCACGAGATAGTCTTCTTGTCGTTAAACTTGGCATGTCGGACTTTTTGACCTCCTCAATTACTTTAATGCGTAATGTAACATGTAATGTAGTGTTGTTTATATTTTTTATGTAATCGATTTAGTGTTGTTTACTTATAAACATCCACCTAAAAAAATAAACATAATAAAAGAATTGCTTTAAAGCTTTGCGTTTAATCCAACAACATATTTTACTCATTTGGACTAGGCAAGATTTCTAGATCGTCTTCCTCACGTCGGCCAGGATCGAAACTCTAGAGCCGCCGCCATTGTCGCTCATGTTCTCCCGGAGAGAGAGAGAGCGAGAGAGAGTCCGATGGAAAAGTGTGGGAAAGTAATTATCAAGGCTACATGGAAATGACAAGGAAGAGTTTGGCAAATTTTCACTTTGTATTTATGAGCATTTGTCTTTTTTGACACGCTAGTTTGAGGAAGCAAGCCAAGGAAATATTGAATATTAATTTAAATGACATAATATTTATTTTATCCATATTTGTTTTTTTGTCAGAAATTTATTTTTTATCTGTTAAGTATTTATTGATATATTGAAAAATATGATGGAAGGGTTTTAGAGCGATGGGGCCCATTTCTAAAGAGAATGAAAAGCTAAGGGTGGGAACCTTTCTCTGATAATTTGGCATGTGAAAAATGTATAATCAGTTGGGCATAGTCTATATGAATTAAATATGAGTTATATTTAAATAAGGGTTATATTTAAATAACCCATCATGACCCATTTTACCATGCCTGGTTTTTTCATTAATCAATTTTGACCCACTTTGATGATGAGTTACCCATTCTAGTAGGAGCCCATTAAATATGAGTTGCAAAATCCCAGCTCTGCCCGTGTGACGTTTGAATGGGAGTTTTGTGTTTCATATTATGCTTTTTCCCTCTATTAGACCTACTTAGTTTGTGTTGATATTAAATTTCCTATATTTATTATGCTTCTAACAAGCTTTTTAGTTTTTACTGCGTTGTGGCTATATTATTGAAGGCCGTAATATCTAGAAGAAGAAAAAGTGTCACTTGGGATCAAATTAGACGAGTATTGTAAACAGGATTGTGAAAGTCTAATATTATGAAGTTGACCCTAATCTGGCAGCAGTGTTTCTTAAAAGCGATTTTCACCTTGATCACAACAACTGTAGCATATAGCAAATGGATTGGCAACAGGCGTAAACACAGCATTGCTATGCTATCATGCTATTAAGTTGCTTAAATTCTGAAGATCCGACCGAAAAGCCTTCAAGTCGTATCATATATGATGCACATCGGTTATCAGGTTTATCTACAATAAAGGATCTTCAAGCGTTGTACTACTTGCTCAATATCAAGTCTGAGTCTTTTTCACGGAAAAATCCATCAATGGTTTCAAAGATAAGATTAAGAACATCTATTCATACAAGTATAATCAGCTATTTCATAATTGCTGCGACTAGTTACATCACCTTCCCAAATTGCTAAAATCATTCAGAAAACATTTTAAGCCAAATAGCAAGCAAATGAATGTTCCTTCCAGTTGAGTGACAATAATGCATGCACCTTAAAACTAATGGCGGATCGTTCACAAGGATAAGCATCGACTGAGACAACAAGCCATCCTGCCCGATCCAAGTGCCCGTCTCATAGGAAAAGCTTTCTGTATTCCCCTGCTTCCTGGGCCAATTCCTCAAAGCTCCGATCTTTTCTTTCCTTATCTAAGTTGAGCTTTTGCTTCAGTTCCTTCTCCTTCTCATCTATCTGTGCGATTAAAGGTATATTCAATCATAAATAATTATGTTTCGGACTGAAGGAAACCAGCTGGGTGGATGAGATTTGCACTTCTTACAGCATCATAGATCTCATCATTCTCCTTAAAATCACCAGCCTTGCGAGGGAGAATATGAATGTGAACATGGGGCACAGTCTGTCCAGCTTGCGGCCCATCCTAGAATAATTAACAATTACCACACCAAACAGAAAGGAAAAATGAACAGAAACAATTTTAGCACGAGAAGACATTCATCTTCAGCATGATTTTGAGCCCTGGACCCTAGACTGCATCCATCGTCATCAGTCTAATTTCTGACAATGCTGGACATTCAATTTCAAGGAGAATAGAACTTGCCAACCATTCAAAAAGTCTTTAAGAACCTTACTGCCACATCTTCAGATAATGTTACCAAAATTGGGTGCAATTGCACTGATGTCGTTAAAATTAAATGAATTTTCCATCGGGTGACAAAATTTTTGTTCTAACCTCTCAACCACGAAACCTTCAATTTATTGCAATAATTGCACTTTGACCAGAATTTGGCCAATTTGCCAGTGAAATGCTAACATGGTGCCCATGTAATTGTGACAATGACAGGTCCATCTTGTTAGCAATTCACTAGGTAATTGGCTATGTTACTATTGAAGTGCATCAATTGCAAAAACATAGTAACTTCATTGCATTGGATGATTGAAACCGTAGTAGTGACCTGATAGCAAATCCACTAAAACTTCAATGACCATGGATAGAAATAGCTCTAATCAATCTGAAAATCCCCTTCATGTAATTGCGATAGAAAACAGTTAGGGTTCTTTAGTACAAATAATAAAAGTGGAAGTAATATAAACTGGACTTTCTTATTGATCAGCCAAGAGAATCATCTGAAACACAGAGCTATATTTCTTATCAACATATATTTTAATTGAACTGTTATTTACTATTCACTAATCCATATCATGTGACATTCAGATGCCAGAGAATTGGAATCAATTTGAGGAGTCAGATATACATCACCTAAGGTGGCATATTGAGGGTCGCTGTGGCTTTTACAATTCAACCAATTTAGCAAGTCAAATTCGACCAATTGAATTGCACGGAGAAGATGATTTTACATGCAAGGAAAAAAGAGTTGAGTTCAAAAGTTACAACTGCCTTACTTGAATTGTAAAAGTCAGAGATGATGCTTTGTGGTAGTGTTCCAACTGACCACCAACTTTCTTTGCAGTAAGCCATAGATCAGTAGTCTCATCAGCACTAAGATCAACAAAGCGCTTTACTTCCCGTCTTGGGCAGATGAGCACATGTATATAATGTCAAGTGAAACATTTTATGCATCATCAATGCCTTAACTCATGTAAAACCAAATTGAAGTTTGAGCCAATCTAGATGACCAAGGAAGATTGATCTGGAGATAACTAATTACCATGCGGCTCAATCCTTAATTTTGGCCACCAACAGAGATAGATATACATAAAAACATGCCCCCAACAGCTAGACAAATATTTGCGATCAGATTTATAACAGAGTTCATCATGCACTAAGGCACGACTCTGACAGCTGAACACATGAGATCTGAAGGTGCTCTCAGAAAGCATTGTCAAACTAATGCCACTCTAATGCATTGCAGGTTGAGTTTTGAAGGTGCTCTCAGAAAACAGTGTCAAACTAAGAATGTTGTGATTCATTACTACTGCTAAATCTTATGTACTGACTGTCCAAACTAGGGAAGCTGTCCATACGAGATGTAAAAAATTCCAGGGGTACACCATATGATAGATCAAGTTGGGATTTAGACAAGCTGAACAGGGTTTACTTTTTTTTTTTTTTTTTTTTCTCTTTACCAAAAAAAAAAAAAAAACAGGGTTTACTTTTTGATAACATAAAGAGACCAGCTTCAATGTGGCCGAAGCAATGATGAAAGAGATAAAGACAATCACTCTCACTGGATCCTCATGTTTTATGGATCCAACAACTACGTGAAGATATAGGTACAGGGAGATGCGAATCCCTTGTGAGGTGGGTTGCTTTCTCGGTGATAGGTCTGGTGGCACATTTGACTTCATGGTTTCGCTCGAAATCTCTAACCACTCAACACCCGTCATCTAAGATGGAGCAACAAATGTTTGGGCACTCTCTCACAAATTATGCTCAAAGAAGGTCTTCAGCCCCATCATGTTGTCCCAAACACTTACCCATCAATAAAAACAAAAGTGCTACCATCGAATTTGATTACGTGCAAAGGATATGACCTGCAAGGTAATAAATCCAAATCAAAACCAAGCACATTAAGCATAGTATCCAGAAGCAGAACAGAGAACTACAAAAGGAGAGATTAGACCAGTATGGCAAAGATTTTCTAGACCTTGAAAATGCAACTATGGACGCTAATGGTTGTTCAGTTAACCGCACAACAACATTGCTTACAATCCATTGGATATAAAGCAATGCACTGCTGGCTGGGGGTTCTGTTGAAAAGTTTTCTGATTCAAGCTAAATGCATTGGGTGCTTCCTACTTTAACTACCAATCTGTGATGGCATAGGATCAGCTCTTTCATGCGAACTGAAACCCGCTAGAAACTGAGAGGACAATTTCCTTTCCTACCAACTAAAATCTACAATGAATGTAGCACTCGCCAATTATGTTAAACCACCAACGTGTCTTTTGGGCATTGAGAGAGAGAGAGAGAGAGAGAGAGAGAGAGAGAGAGACCGGGAAGAACAGGACGCAAATTGACCATGGCAAAGGACAGGGAGGAGGTGTAAAATACTTCCGCAGGGTCGATCTTGTAAGGTCCAAAAGCGAAAGCCTCCGATGCCATCTGCATCAATCAGAACACGTTAAAAGGGGACTCTGATTTCCGACAGATTTCGATCTCGACTTCAATTAACAAAAGATATTTCGTCAAACGAGGGGAGTGAACGAAACAACGCAGAAGGATCATACACTGCAACCTTGGACTTGAACGTGGTGAATCCTCGGAGCCCCGTCGATCGACGACGACTGGGGACGAGCAGCAACAACCTGGAACCGGAAGAGAGCAGCAGAGACTGGGTCGGCTTCATCACGAGAACAAGCGCAAACAATCAACCTGTTAAGCCCAGAAGAGGGGACGAGAAGAGGAGAAGAAGACCAAACCAAAGACAGAGTGTCGAAACGAAGGTGGGAAAGAAGAGCTTACACAGTCGAATCAAGAAGAAGGAGATGATTGGGGCTTTGACACGAAGATGACAAAGCAGTAGAGCAAGGGATGCCGGTGCAAGAAGTACCAAGTGTTTGGTAAACAAAATCTAAACGGTCCATCTGATTAACTCCAAATTTTAGTGCCGATTTTATAAGGGTTAATTCTATAAAAAATCTCAAACCGATACATTTCTGACAATTTTACCCTAAACTAATTTTTTGACTACGAAAAACCTCAAACTGGTATATCTGTGACAATTTGATCCCGAACTAATTTTTTGACTATGAAAAACCCCAAACTGGTACACCTGTGACAATTTTACTCTGAACTAAGTTTTTGACTACCAAAAACCTCAAATTGGTACGCCTGTGACAAATTTACCCTATATTAGTTTTCGTTAAATTTTACTATTAAATTATTGAGTTTGATGACACATAATAATTTATAGATGTACTAGTTTAGGGTTTTACCTCTATGTTTATCACAAATTTACAAATTTGTGATTTTTTTGTGATATTAATTTAATTTAATGGAAGGTAAATTTGTCAAAAGTGTATCAATTTAGGATTTTTTGTAGTAAAAAAATTAATTCGGGGTAAATTTATCACAGGTGTACAAATTTGAGGTTTTTGGTGATGAAATATTAGTTCGGGGTAAAATTGTCAAAAGTGTACCAGTTTGGGATTTTTTGTGATCAAAAAATTAGTTCAGGGTAAATTTGTCATGGGTGTATCAGTTTGGGGTTTTTGGTGATGAAAAATTAGTTCGAGGTAAAATTATCAAAAGTGTATCAATTTAGGGTTTTTTATAGTCAAAAAATTAGTTCGAGATAAAATTGTCACAGGTGTACCAGTTTGGGGTTTTTCGTAATATTAACCCATTTTATAATTGCAATCATCAAATTAGATATAAAGACGGAGTCGGGTAATCTTCAAAATTGAGTGTATGTTTGCTCGTGTGCTCGTCATGTGGGTACCTCACTTTTTCATGGTGTTCGTTGCGTGGTAAGACGCATGGCATAATCTTGCGACCGTAGCCCAAACAGCTTAATGACCAGTAATTGTCATCTCACATTTTGATTACCTTTTATTGAATTTAGATTTCATAGTTTATCCAATTCAGCTAAAACTGATTGATTAAATTTAAAATAAGATGGATTGATTACAAAATCAAAAGTTTAATATGAAAAATAATTTAAACTGATTTCATTCAAACATTTTTAATTCATTGAATGAAAAAATATCAATAGATGAAAAATTCAATTCATGTAAAACTAGACAAAATGTTATCACGTAGCCAAAGATGTTATTCAAATTTGTTTTAATTGATTGGTAGGGAGACATCATCTTGAATTCAACTTTGCCAAAACTACTTTACATTTAACTAAGCAATGAATAAAGATCTTTTTTCAATGAACTTCAATGACTACAACCTCATACAATGAGGTACACTTCACTCATTCAAATGTTTCTTTTTTGAAGTTTCCCTCGTGTCGCGACCTACCCCTCGAGGGCCGCCTCAGAGAAGTAGGTTTAGAGGTACTTTATTGGACTCTTCCTAAATCCATACCTCGTGTGACATTGATTGTTAAAATCTATTTATTCGATAGGAGTCGCCACTAACCACGATTAAGGGTCGGCTAGAAACCCTAATCGAGATACGGGAATGTTATCTCGAAAACATATGCAACCAAAGATTCTTAGGGATCGGAGACTTGATTACACTATTTTTTCAACTAATGCCCTTTCGGTACCTAAAGAATTTTGAATTTTCATCATAACCATTCTAAAAGGGAAAAACAACAATCAATGAATTTAAAGTGCGCAATCAAATGAAATCAAAATAAAAATGCAAAAATAGCGACCTAGTATCGTCTCTAAAAAAACAATAAAAAATCCCTAAGGTAAAACGCTAAAGGCTTATTCAATTTTGGGATCAAATTTTATTCAAACCTAAAGTGTTCATTAAAAGCCCTAAACCAAGACAATTCTACATTTTTTTATTTTTTTCTGAATTTTTTTATTTTATATTTTTTTGATTTTTGGGAAAATGGACATCGGACCGGGTCAGGGAAACCCGGTCCGATTTGCCGGTCTGACCCGGACCCAGGGGGTCCGGGTTGGGTCGACTCGGGCAATCTCTTGGGCTCAATGTGAATAAAGCCCAAATTATCAAATTTCAGTTTTTTTATTCATTTAGGCCCAATTCGAATTCAGCCCACTTTCTATTAAACCATTTAAGTCCCTATTCCTTGTTCGGCGCAGATTCTAGCCCGTCGGATCCTCTCCAACCCAGACCCGTACTCGACCCGGTCTTTATTTTACCCGAATTCTATTTCTTTTTTATTTTCTATCTTTATTATTTTCTTTTTGGTCTTCTTCTTCCTTACGTGATTTCCTTCCCCGAGAGCTCACCACCAGGATTCCAACTTTGAGCTTCACCGGAGCAACTATTCCTCCGGCCATCTATTTACTCAAGCAACCTACCACTAACTCGCCTTCGTCCACCACCAATCCCGGCCATTATTAGATCGCCGGCCGCTTGTTCCGATCATTGTTCCGACTAACCTTTACCGACGGCCATTCTCATTCATCAACTAATAATCCTCAAGCAATAGCAATAAATGTACACATACATGGCAGAGAAACGGAAACGAGGAAGCTAACACAGACGGACTTTAACCGTGGGCACCTTCGGCATGGAAAATGGATCTCCGGCGAAGGTTTCGCTCGTGGCCGATTCATGATGTGCAAGTGCCATTAAAAAAAAAAAGAAGAAAAATTCGGCATCAGTTTCAGTTCAACAATTAACGGTGCAAATATGAATCAGATTTAAACCTAAGAGCTTTCACACAATCGTTTACTCAAAATCAGTTTTAATATTCTTTTAAGCAAATCGCCAAACAAGTAGCATGCGACTCAAGAAATGAGATTCCGATTTGATTCCGATACGATTCTCGATCACGAAATGATGTGTAGGTGCCTAAATCATGTTATTCCACAACAAATATGCCTTATTCTATCAGATTTTCGCACAAACTCGGCAATTGAATCAAGCCTATTTTCTCGGCCAAAACAGGGCATATTTGAGATAGAAATCCTACTTGGTTTGGAAGCAGCGTGAAGTCTTCACGATCGTCTACGAATAGGAACGCGACAGGTTTGGGATATCCGGCTAAACAGCGATGAGCAACGCCGACTCGCACTTCCCAAGTAACAAACCAAAAATGACGAACAAACTTTTCCGGCGAAGATAAAGGAGCGACCGGAGATCAAAGGGGAGGAAATTTGCCGGTAATCCTCCACGTGAATAGAGGAACCGAACGCTTTCCTCTCCAGGCCCTTCTCTCCCGGCGACGTATGTTTTCTCTCCTTCCCCCCGAACTCTCTCGGCCAACCCCTTGTATTTGTTTTTTTTCTTCTTCTCTTCTTCAGTCGAGCGAGTATCCCCGTCCCTTGCGTCCACCGTGCATTTTGTTTTGCTCATAACAACTTCTACAGCTTAGCAAGCTTCTAGAACCTTGCCTGGATTTGCGTCAGTCACCTGTTTGTTTCGTCACTGTCACTCTCGTTCACGGATGCTCCCCCCGTCCGTCACCATCTTATGCTCACAAGCGTGAGCAAGCGGAAGAGATGACAGGTGTGAGACTGGGCTAGGGTAAGTAGAAATGGGCTGAAAGGAAAAAGTTGGGCCGAAAGGCAAAATATAGAAAAAGAAAAGAGAAGAAAAGGGCCGAATTCGGCCCAAACAAGGAACGAAAGGAGGGCCAGATGCGCAGCGGGCTGAACGCATGAATTGGGCCCAATTGAACTAGAATTTTTTTGTCTATTTATTTATTAATTTTTTATTTGATTTCTGATTTTTTTTTTGGTGAGGTGTCAACAGCTCGTACATGTCACAAAAGAAGATAATTGATAGGAAATTGATGTCCCAAATGTGTAAATTATGCACCAAAGAATCAAATATTTTTGCATATGAGTTAGGCAAATTGTCAAACATGTGATATCCATATAGTATGGATAAAGAAATGCTAAGCTGAATGAAAACTACCCATTTGCTAGGGGCGAGCGATTTCAAGTTTTATGCAGATTTCACATAAAACCTAGAACTTTATCCATGGGAACAAGTTTTTCATTTTTTGGAACTTGGAATTTACTTTGCATACATTGAAACCTGAAACCTACCCTATCATAGGTTCTAAGGTCGATTCTAAGGTCTACCTAGGTTCCACCTGTGTTATTAATTGAACAATTGCAATGAATCATTACCTTCAATGACCACCACTTGCTGCTACGATCCACTAACCATAACTTATATTTAGACACAAGAAGAATATGAAATATTAACAAGTCATAAAATGAAAACTCAGACTAATGGTTCTAGATATATACTCATCATCTAATGCCATGGAACACCGTAAGATCACGCAAAGGCATAGACCAAGAAAAAACACAAAAAATTTGTTTAAGGTTAAAAGTTCCAAGTTCCACCTATCTAAAACCTGGAATCTACCCATCAGAACTTGGAACCTACCTTGTATGCTTTGAAACCTGGAACCTACAGGTTCTCCCTGGTCAAGTTCTCAGGTTTCAAGTTCTACCCTGAAACTATGCTCACCCTTCAAGGACAGTGCTTGCACATCCTAAATATTTCATTATTATTTTTTCTTGGGATAAGTGTACCGAAAGTCGTACAACTTGTCATGAAAGTGCAATTGAGTCCTAAAACTTTTAAAAAATACAATCAAGTCCAAAAACTTGTCACGAAAGTGCAATCGAGTCCTAAAAATTTCAAAACATGCAATCAAGTCCTAAAAGTTGTCATGAAAGTGAAATCAAATCCTAAAACTTTCAAAAAGTGTAATTAACATAAGGACTTCATTAAGCCAATTTGACAAGTTTTAGGACTTGATTGCACTTTTTGAAAGTTTTAGAACTTAAATTACACTTTCATGATAAGTTTAGAACTTAATTACACTTTTTGAAAGTTTTATGACTCAATTGCATTTTTATGACAAGTTGTCGGACTTCCAATGCCCTTTTCCCTTTTTCTTCTTCTTCAACATTCTTTCTACAACACTAGAGCAGCTATCTTTCCATATGAGCTTTGATCAGCTGATGGCCACCTGTATCCAGATATCCTTGGTTTAGGTTAATTGTTGAATCTTTGTGAATATGTATGGTCTCTAAATACAACTCTTTACATGTCTATTTTTATCATCTTGTTTAAAACTTCCTTAAGCAATATTGTCAACTTAATAACCACAATCTTCTTCACAAAAATCAATATCTTTGATGCTTGGCTAGGCATAATCTTCTTGCATTAGGAGTGATCACAGATGAAGAAGGGCATGGTAGTGCAATGGAGAAGATTGCATTAGGAGTGATAACAGACATCGGGATGGGTGTTTTGTTTTCGGAAACGCGATTTTATCTTCAGCATTCGGACTTTGGCTCACAAAAAATAGAGTCGGCAAAGTCGACGTTATACTAATATTTGACACCGATAGTGTTGTGCAGCTGAATTAAGAAGGTTGGAAAACACCTCCACCACAATTGCAAAAAGAAAAATAAAAGGAGAGAGGGGATCTCCTTATATAACTCTTATTTCCCTGCTGAAGAAAGAAACCCTTAACAATGCTCGCTAAGGAACACAAGTGAATCCAAGTGACAAATGGGCAAGTCAAATAAATGCTTTTCGAGATGCTAATAAATGAACCTAGAAATTCAAGGGCTTACTTTCTTCCTCATGACAGATACTTTCAAAGGAGGAGGGGTCGATGCTTAAATTTATGGGAATAACACTCTTTCATTGACGCATTAACTCATTTTTATTATCGAGTACATAACATGGTCACGAGTTTCAATGCGAATTATTATAAGTTGCTTTGCAATCTTTCGAGCATGCATTTGCACATACTCCAAGCTCCTTGGCATCTGCAAGTATTGTTAGACTTTGATTAGAAAACATTCTGCTTGGTAAATTAAGAAGAGGACAAAAAATTCTCATGAATGAATTGATGGGGTATTTGATAAAGCAAGTTCTTGATATGCTCTCTCTCGCCTGAAGAGCCCCTCTCTATCACCTGGATAGCTTTGCCCTAAATCCCATTTCCTTCCAAAACCCATAGAATCCATGTCGCCAATAATACCATCGTTCTCTCCTACTCTCTACCCTCACACCTTTCCAAAACCCTTATTTTCTATGTAAATCGCTCAGAATGGCGAGGATTAAGAGCAAAAACAAACGACGTTGAAGAAGAGAGGCGCAACTACAGCAAAATGGCAAAATGCGGTCTCCGGGTGCAGTCGAAGGCAGATTAGCCCCCTCCTCTTGCGCCACACCTTTCTGGATGTCCAGGAAACTATTCACTTCAGTTCAAGGTTCAAAAGCAAAAGAAAAAATGGCGAAGAAGAAAGCAACGATTGTAGACACTTGTCTTCGAGCTGGGTCCTTTTCCAATTTCTGGTATGTTTCCCTCTCCTCTAGGTGGCGCCACTCTTGGGGTATCTATGGAAGAAGCATAGTTGTAAGAAATCGCATGCTAGGTGCGTTAGGTCGATTTAGTCACAAAATCTAGCAATATGGAAGAAAACAGAGAACGGGATCTAAGGATGGTGGCCTTGTGTAGAAGGTTAGGACATCTCTGGACAGGAAGAAAAAATGCTGTGTTAGACAATGTGGTGACTGAAGACAAATTACAAGAGTGTGAACGTACTGTCTTTGGTAAACTTCTTGGAAGTCCTTCTGTCAATTTCCAAGCTTTCCAAGCCACGATGAAGAAAGCTTGGAAATCGAATTCTGTCATATGCAAGCATCTACAACCAGGTCTGTTTTCATTTGAGTTTGAGTCTATGGAGGAGAGAGACAAAGTACTGAACTCTAGACCATGGTCCTTCTCAAGCCATCTGCTGGTAATAAAGTTATGGGAACCGAGTATGCCTCGACACTGCATTATATTCGATTCTTGTACCTTTTGGGTTCAAATTCATGGCTTACCTATAGAGGGGAGGTCTGAAGCAGCAATAAGAGAAATTGCAGAAAATGTAGGTGAGGTTTCAGAAGTGCGCATAGAAACAAAGGGATTTGCATCCATTGTGGTGGGGAGAGCTAGGGTCCTGTTAAAATTGTCAAATCCCCTCTCTTCGAGCATGCTCTCTAGCTTTAGAGGTAAGGAGCATTGGCTGGACTTTAGGTATGAAAGACTTCCCCACTTGTGCTACTTGTGTGGGGTAATTGGGCATTATGCAAAAAGTTGTGAACTTGTGCCTTATGAGGTCGAACTCCTTTCCAAAACTGAAAAACTGTTTTACGGGTCCTAGCTAAAAGCTAAAGAGAACTCTTGTAGTCCATTTTGGACGGCCTTTTATGGAGAAATTTTGGAGGTGGAAGGGGAGCAGGAGATGGTGCTGGAAACCCCAGAAAACTCTGGATTGGTTACCTTGGTTCAGAATAATGCAAGCAGCCCACACACAAGACCGAACAATTTGCAAGAGGATAGAGGAAAGAGGAAACTAACAGAAAATGAGCTTTTGGCCCTAGTGAGCACTCCAGAAACCGAAGAAGATGTTGATCTTGATTTAGCTATTTCGCTGCTGATCGACATATCTTCATCACAGACAGTGGGCGATAGACTGCAGAGCAAAAATAGAAAATTGAAGGCAAAGAATCATAAGAAGGGCAGAAGATTTGGTCCGTATGATCAGAAAATTTCTAAAGGACAATTGATGGATGAAACACAGCTATTAGAAACTCCGGTGCAACTTGCAAAAGAACCCAATCAATGGGCTTTGGTGGCTAGCCCTAATAAGCCATCGGGTTACAAATGAAGCTGTTCTGCTGGAACTGTCAGGGGTTGGGTACATCCTTGACAATTCAAGCCCTAAGGGCCATTATGGTCCAGGAAAGGCCCGATGTGATATTTTTTATGGAGACCAAGAATCAGGAAACTACAGTTCGTAGTGTAAGCAGAAATTTAAACTTCCAAAACTGCTATATTGTTAATCCAGTAGGGATTGGGGGGGGGGGGGGGGCTTGGCTTTGCTGTGGAAGGTTGGAATTCCCTTGAGTGTTAATTCATCCACAAATGAGTTCATTGATAGTACTCTTAAGGATGATGAGATGGGTATACAATTCAGGGCTACCTTTGTTCATGCCCCAACATGGTTTCAGGACAAATTAAAATTATGGGAAGAGCTGAAGATGCTGAGTATCCAGAACACCTTGCCTTGGGTGTGTATAGGGGACTATAATGAAATCTTGAATTACTAGGAAAAGCTAGGGAAGAGGCCTCCGGAACAATAGTGTCACGTCCCGAACCCTATGAAGCGCAACATCCCTGCCGAGGTCGAACTTGTGCAACGCCCCAGGAAGCGTCGCCGACCCAAAACCCAAACAGAGATCGAGACATATGCGGAAGCAACATAAACACCCGTACAAATAAAACAACACTAGACCAAGGATAGCACAACAACAACAACGGGATAACAAATATACACTTATATTAACCAGGGAAACATATACAATATCCATTTACAGAGAGCACCAAAAACTAAAAGCGGTCAACGGCCACCACTGACAAAAAGGGGTAGGCGGCCAGGCGGTTAGACTACTACCTAAGGTGGGGCTCCGATCAAAAAAGTACTAGCCCAACCTATCTGAGGCTATGGCTAACCCTACGAAACCCAGTCCGGGTCGGATCCCGAGGACTCGGAAGATGAAGAACTATCAGACAGCTCCACCTCGGAGTCTAAGGAATCCAACTCGGACTCGGCCTCTGCTGGCTCCTCCTCGGAATCCATCTGCTCAGGCTCGCCCTCCTGATCGAGGTCCTGCTCCATGGGCTCCGGGTCAAAGTCCCAATCCACCGGCTCCTCGTCCATAGGGTCCGGCTCATCCACCTCCCAGACGTCAGGTCCGGCGCCAGAACTCGAAGTCCCCTCGGCTGTAATATCGGGGCTCGCTAGGTCTCCGTCGGCACACTGCGGGTCCATCTCGCCTAGCCCGTTAAACGGGACATCAAAAGTCTGAAGAGGTCCATACTCCCCGGAGTAGTCTCTAAAACACCACGCTACATACTCGTGGGTCTCAAAATGCGTCTTCCCCACATCAACCCATACCAAAGTATAATACCTAATATACATTTCCCCGTTCCTTACGGGGTACACGGACATCGTCTTCTCTATATGATGTGGAATCCCAAAATGAACTGGAACTTCTAACATCTTCAAGGCCGGGGGTCTGAAATATTGGGTTTTAACAACAATGAGACGAATCTCAGCGAGTAAAACCCCTTAAACCTAAACTAGGCTAACATGCACCTCCTGACAGGCAACAAATCACATACAACTAGCAATAATCGACAATCAATTAACCTAGGCCCTCGGGCCCAGATCGAGCACACAATTAACCCTGCAGGTTAGAAGTTCGTAATAATACTCATGGCACATACGCGATCACACTTAGTCAAACATACGCCATACGCATGCTCATACTTATTAATGCCTGCCTTATACACGAGTCACCGATACGCACAACTGCCAATACACTCTTGCACACATATGCCATGCTCATGATTCGGCTCAGTAATACACACTAGCACATTGCTCATTTCTCAATTAGAGATCGACCCCCGTAAAACGCCTCAGGTCTATCAATCAATACCAATACTTCATTGCCCGCGTAAAACGCATCATGCCCGGTGTCTCTAGCCCGCGTAAAACGCATCAGGCGCAACACCGATCTCTATATACGGACCAAAACCCGCATAAAACGCATTAGGCTGGTCGTCTTCCAATAGAACCGGGTATCGTCCCGCGTAAAACGCATCAGGACTCATAATGATCACACGCTCACACAACCAATTTTATCTGAACCCTGCGTAAAACGCATCAGGGCAATTAAGGTGATCACATGCTCATGTCAGGCACGCATACTCGCACAATTCCCGAATCAAGCCAATGTTCAATCATGCGAAATACATGGCCATGCAATCCTGCACTCGGGCAATCACACAATGCACAGTGAGCATCCAATTTCTACTCAGGCACGTAGTCAATCAATGTCAGGACATACTCAATAAAATGCCACGACGTGCTCAATTAATCATTCGACATGCTCATATTAATCACAATACACCCAATCAACATACTAGCATGTCCATAAAGCAATTCTTTTCAATATTGCATAGCACATAATCAACGCACACAATTCACGTGATTAGAACAATATAACTTCGCACTCTCGAGGCCCAACATGCTCATCAATTCTCGGTCACATAAGGCAATCGACATGGCAATCCCAAATTAACACCCAATCAAGCACGAATCAATCACTCAATGGACAATTACACGGCATATTCGGGATTTCACAATTAAATCCTAAACTTCCGAACTTAGGCCGATTAATCCCAATAATTTTCCAGCCATGAACAGCCCACTCTAGGGCACTAGACCACATCAAAATCAGCACATAAGGCTCCCAAATCATCTCATAGTCCACCACAATTAAATCAGCCCACTAATCAAATCTTAAATCACCTAATTAACCCATAATTAACCATAATCCTATCTAGAAATACTTAATTAGCCTAATTAGGGTTTAGGGACTAATACTCACAATTCCTAAGCTCCAACTTAGAGGCTGAACTGGCGGGGGAACGGGCGATCCAAGGTGGCTCACGGCGGCGGCGTCCCGGCGGCTCACGCCCAAGGGGGCTGATCGGCGGCTATGCCTCTCGGACGAAGGGAGGAAGGGAGAGGGAGGAGAGGATGGGACAGTCTGGTGGTGGTGATGAGATGAGGTGGGCGGTCGGTGGCTGGACGGCGCTCCGGCGGTGCTCCTTCGGTGGCGGTGGTGCTCACGCCGAACAAAGGAAATGGAGGGGAGGAAGAATCGGCGAGAGGGAGAGAGGAGAGGAGAAGGGAGTTGGCTGGTGGTGAGAGGAATGAGAGAGAGACAAGAGCATTTATTAGTCTAAGGGTTTGACCAACTTTTTCCTAATCCCCACTTTACCCCTCTCTCACTTGGCTAATATCAATCTAAGTCCAATAATTGAGGGGCATTTTGGCCCAAGATTTTCTGCATTATTGGGCTGATAATTATCCAAGATTTAATCCCTCAAATTAATCTCCAAAAATTCCTAAAATTCGGAATACCAAAAATAGGCCTAGGGGCAAAATCGCCATTTTCTGATTTCGGGCCGAATTTCTATTTTCTGACCGTACTGGTCCAAAATATATTTGGCCACACTAAAATGACGTCGTCCTCGCAAAATAGTCGCGTACGTCCACGAAGTTCGACGTCCAAGTTCGGATCCAATTTCGCGATCAAAATTGATCAATTTAAAATTTTAGGGTCTCTCACTAACGGGCGGCTATTTAGGGGTTACGCGTATTGACCTAGGGTTACTCAAGTCATGATGGTCTCGATTACCGGGAGAACGGGAGGAATTATCGCTAGTTCCGGAGGTCGCGATCGTTCGGTTTAAGTTCGGGATTTGTTCGCCACGAGTACTCTCGGTCGTGCGGAATCACCCGCGATCCGATCATACGTCATTGGCCAAACTAAATCCGTCACTTTCCTCGGATCGGCCCACATTGGCCCAAAATATTTCCTCGTCGTTTCTCGGAATCGGTGCCCGATTCGCGATCGGGTCCCTAGTCCACGTACCGTTTTCCTAGTTAGCTATTCCCTTTTGGTCAGTATCCCGAGAGTGATCAGTTCCGGGCGAGACTTACTAAAATTACATGAGAATAATATCAATATCATTGATCCCGGAAATGGGTCGAAATTCAGGATGTTACAAATATAGACTGAACGCTTTTAGAGATTTCATCAATGCTTGTGGTTTAATGAATTTAGAGAGTAAAGGTTGCGCATTCACTTGGGCGAACAATCGAGAAGGGCAGGACTATGTTAAAGAAAGACTGGACAGGGCTGTTTGCAATATTGAGTGGAGAATATCATTCCCTTAAGTTGAGGCCTTCGCTCTACCAGCTATCGGATCTGATCATAGCCCTATCTTATTGATATTATCAGCCGAACCTCCTAGGAGAAAGAGAATTTTTAAATTCAAAGCATTTTGGCTGGAACATGAGGATTGTAGGAGGTTAATCACACAAATTTGGAATCAAGACAGATTATAGCATTCTAATCTAGTGCGAAAAATACATGAAGTTTCCAAAGGATTGGCAACATAGAGTATGAAAACCTTTCAGAACAGCCATAAGAAGATCAAAGTATTGCAAGAAGAACTCATGGGCTTAACAAATGATCACAATTTGCAAAATAGTCAGAACAGAAAGAGGGCCATTACTAAACAGATTGCAACACTGTGGAGACAGGAGGAAATGTACTGGGGAATAAGGTCTCGAATCAATTGGCTGAAGTGGGGTGATAAGAACACAAAATATTTCCACGCCACAACAATTCAAAGAAGACAGAGGAACAAAATATCGATGCTTAAAAATGCAGAAAACATATGGATTCGAGATCCGAAGAGGTTAAAAGAGATGACAGTTGACTTTTTTCAAGAACTCTATAAATCAGAGGGCCCCCGAGAATTTGAACCTGTTTTGCAACAATGCCCCACTATTGTCACGGCTGAGATGAACCAATTTTTGACAGCTCAAATCACAATGGAAGAGGTCCAAACAGCATCTTTTCAATTGGGCTCGTTGAAGACTCCGGGACCTGATGGCTTGAATGGCCAATTCTACCAAAGAAACTGGGAAAGTATAAAGAATGGGGTTTTTGAAGAAGTGAAGGACTTTTTTCATTCTGGAAATCTAAACCCAGAACTTAATAGAACATATATCACCTTGATCCCAAAAGTTCATCACCTGGAAGGCTTGGATCAGTTCAGACCAATCAGCCTATGCAATTTTGCATACAAAATTATTTCGAAAATCATGGCAAATAGATTGAAACAGTGGCTGCCAGCTATAATAGAAGGAGAATAAAGTGCTTTTGTGAGAGGTAGACAAATACAAGATAATATTCTGGTTGTTCAGGAAGTCCTCCACCAATTGCGAATCAGAAAAAGGAAAAGAAAATTCCAGGCAGTGGTGAAACTTGACATGAAAAAAGCCTATGACAGGGTAGAGTGGGATTTTCTTGAGGCTAGCATGTTGAAAATGGGGTTTAGTGACTGGTGGGTGCGGAGAATAATGAAATGTGTCACTTCTGTCTCTTTCAGTGTAAAATTAAATGGAGAATCATTGCCCTACTTTAAGCCAACACGAGGGATAAGACAAGGGGATCCCATATCTCCCTATTTGTTCATTATAGTAGCCAACACACTCCATATTGATGAAAAAAGCAATTCAGGACAGCACAATTTCTGGTATTAAACTCAACAGGTACTGTCCAGTCCTATCTCACCTCCTTTTTTCTGATGATTCCATATTCTTCTTAGACAGTAAGCTCATCGAATGTCAAAATCTTGCATTGATTCTCAATCAATATTGCTATGCATCTGGGCAAGCCATTAACTTAAACAAGTCTGGAATCTTCTTTAGCTCATGCTGTCCACAGAGTTTGAGAGATAATATGGCAGCTGAACTTAGAATCCCAGAGATCCGAAAGACTGGCAAATATTTAGGGATTCCTTCAGATTGGGGTGAATCCAAGAAACAAATGTTCGTGTGGATTTTGGCAAGAGTCAATATGAAATTAGAAGGGTGGAAGGAAAAATTAATCTCAAAGGCAGGGAAAGAAACCCTGATTAAAACTGTTGTTCAAGCTCTTCCCCAATATGCGATGTCAATATTCAAAATTCCAGTTTCAATTTGTAAGTCCATAGAAAGAAAGGTTGCGGCATTTTGGTGGAAGAATAGTGAATCAAATAAAGGCCTTCACTGGAAGAGGTGGGAAGTTCTCAAAACTAGGAAAGATCAAGAGGGAATGGGATTCAGAGACCTAATATCTTTCAATAGAGCAATGCTTGGCAAACAAGCATGGAGACTTTCTCAAAACGAGTTATCCATATGAAGCAAAATCCTCAAAGGCATCTATTTCCCTACAAGGTCATTCTGGCGAGCTGGGAAGGGGTCTCGGCCCTCATGGGGATGGCAGAGTATTCTGATGGGGAGAGATTCGATATCGAACTCAGTAATATGGTCGGTTGGCACAGGGGAAAAAATCAATATTCGAGAAGATAGGTGGCTAAAACGAGGATTAATAGGAGGACCAGCAACTTCTCGAGAACCAACCAGAGTTGCAAACCTAATCCAAAATGAGAATAGAAGATGGAATGAAGATTTGCTAGCAAGAATGTTTGATGAGCAAACTGTTAACGAGGTGTTAGCAATACCACTATGCAGTCATGCAATAGAGGACAAACTTGTGTGGACAGCTACAAAGTCAGGGGTCTTCTTGGTGAAAAGTGCATACAATCAGATTCATCAAAAGGAAAACACATAGAATGCAATGCAAGCCTCGTCATCTTTCAAGCCATCCCGCAAGCTATGGTGCATAATCTGGAATTTAAAAATCCCGCCCAAGGTTAGAATATTTCTATGGAGTGTATGCCAAAATGCTTTCCCCATAGCAGAAAACCTCTATAGGAGGAAAATCTTACCTCGACTAGCATGCCCCTTCTGTGATCAGGAAGCTGAAACGGTAGAGCATCTATTTCTTCTCTGCCCCTGGACCGAAGCCATCTGAACAGATCCCTCAATACAGATCAGAATCACACGTCAAGAAATAACACGGATTGAGGTATGAATTCATAACTATGAGCTACGGCTACATAAATTGCTGAATCTAGATGAAATGGCCATTCTTTTGTGGTTGATCTGGAAGGCCTGAAATGAATTTGTGTTTAGGAAAAAACCCCTAAATCCGAGCACCCTAATTGAGTTGGCAAGAATGATAATGCAAAATTATGGGAAGTGGAATCATCAAAGCTCTATTCTGCATGCTGAAAAGAGCCTTTTACCTCTGTGTTGGAAACCACCGATGAGAAACTCCTTCAAAATCAACATAGATGGATCCTTCCTTGGAGATGCAGCAAAAGGCGTGGTTTCTAGAATCCTCAGAAACAAAGCTGGTACCTTGCTGGAAGGCTTGGCCAGGATAATACCCGCGACCTCGCCGTTGCACATAGAACTGCAAGCTTTGCTGCATGCTCTAGACTACTTCGTCGACAGGAGAAAAGATGGAATTATGATAGAAACTGATTGTCTTGAAATAGTAAAGAAGCTGCAGGACCAGAGAGAAGTCGGCTGGGAAGAGGCAGCTTTCATCAGAGAAGCGCATATCCGAATGGCCCAATACACAAACCTTACTGTGGCCCATTGCAATAGATCCGCGAATCAAGCTGCCGATTGGGTCGCCAAAGCGCAACGTACAAATTCTCTTTTTTCATCTTGGCTAACCCGTCCCCCCAACCTTTATGGGAGTTGTTATGTTATGATGCCCCTTCGTCGGGTTGTAGTTTCAAGAACACTTAATTTTCAATCAAAGTGTTTCTATTTAGACCAAAAAAAAAAAATTAAGAAGAGGACAAAGCAGATAAATGAAGAAATCTTTAGACGTTCGGAGGAAAAAAATAAAATTTTGCTTGTAATATTTAGTTTCCCTCACTTCCGTCAAAGTATTTGGATTAAAACCTCGTCCTTTTTTAGGCCCGAATTCCTGCAATTATCTGTTTTTAACTAGGGTAAAAGAGAAGAAAATAAACACTCAATTTCTTAAGGGGAAAACAAAGAGATTTCAGCATAGCCAAAATAAAGAATCATATATTTCTCTTGAGATATGTACTAGAGAGGAAAATATCAATATAATCAATTTAGATGGCACCAAATAACGTGTCACCGAAAGTAGTTTCTCATCATACAAACACAAAAACCCCAATGACCTAAGCTTTTTCAATAGTTAAAAAGAAGAACCAGATGAATAAATAAATAACATCAAGGATTGAGGGATAAGATTTGTACCCGATTTCAAGCCGATGCACTTGGTGATTTTGCATCCAAGCTCACAGTGACCAAGAGAAGTACTTAAAGAGAGATGACAATGATGTTCAATCATGCATTTGGCGTAACAATTCGGGACACGGCTATCGGCGCAATCCGAGATACAGTCCTTATAACAAGAATTATCACTCTGCACTCGCGCCGTGGATACACCGAGAATTAACACCAACATCACCCCCATCGCCATTAGCCTCTTGAAGCCGAGATCCGCCATCGATCTTGCGCTCGTCGTCTGTTTACTCTAATGGCTAAAGAGAAACTTGTGTGGGATTTAACAGATGATCATATGGATGAGCAAAGCATGAGAATTGAAGAAGGTTTATTAAATATAAGAAATGAGGGTTCATGCAAGTTAAGGAAAGGGCCAAGTATGTGCAGGTAAGGCAATATCCGATTTCGGAAAGAATCTACCACGTCAATTTTTTTTCCTTTTCTGGCAATCTATTCTGATCGACCATAATGAAAGAAGCCCAGAATTGAGCATTGGACAACTATAAATATAAAAGAAATTTGAGTGCTTACTATACAAGGCAAAGATATTATGTATGAAATCTGCTAACGAACCTAACCCGCTGTCCCTCTTCCTTTCAGTTGGATAGAATTTTACAATGTCCAGTGTCCACAAAGGAATGATTCAGAAAAGGAAGTAACAATAATACCCCAAAAAAGATTACGAGGAAATAGTTCCAATGATTAATTCAGATAAGATTTGCATTGTTGGAAAAATTATTACATATTGGAGGAAGAAGAATACGTAACACTGTTTGTTGTAACCAGAAAAATAATAAATCCGAGAAAGTAGTAACAAAATAAATCAGTAGGTGAGGTACGAATAACCGAATTTTCTTAAGTCGATTAGTTCCTACCAACAGTGCTAAGCAACTTCACGAACTATGCCTTCCAAGATACCACACATCGAGCCTGATTGTATCAACACTATATGAACAGGACTCTGTCGAATACTTCTCAAAACCGACACACTTGGAGGAATATTGTTGAAGAGAAACTTCAAGATACGCTCTAGGAGTACTTCGAGGAGTTCTTTCTCTATCTCTCGTTTGAACTAAGAAGACACGTCTATATATAGACAAGGGAAAATAATGGTTACACGTGCATTAATATTGAGCCATTAATACATAACGGTTACACGTGCACTAATGTTTAACCATTAAACATAACGGTTACACGTGCACTAATGTTGAGCCATTAACACATAACGGTTACAACATACATCATTGCTTCTGAAAATGCACTAGCCATAAACTATCTTTCCATATGAGTTTTGATAAGTTGATGGCCATCTTTGGCTTAGGTTAATTGCTCAATCTTTGTGAATATATATTGTAGGCCACGAAAATGGCACGCCCAGGATCACCATAATAAAAAATCGAAACACGTAAATGGAGAAATTATCGTTTCGCGTACCTGGTTTGCCGTCTAAGCCTCATTGCTATGAAGAGGTCCATTGCCGAGCATCTCATTAGTGGTTTGCCAGAAATAGCAAATGCGAGAGAGTTTCTTGCAGCAGTGGGAGCAAGATATGCAGTTTCAGACAAAGCTGAGGCTGGGAATTTGCTGAGTGAGTTAACTAGTATGAAATATGATGCTGCTATGGGTGTTAGAGAATTTATATTGAGGATGGTGCATATTCAATCCAAGCTTAAGGCCCATAATATTGTCCTTTCTGAAGATTATGTTGTGCATCATGCCTTAAATATTCTGCCTGCTGATTTCAGTCAGATTAAAACTGCTTATAGCACTCAGAATGAGACTTGGAGTGTTAATGCTTTGATTACTAAATGTGTGGCTGAGGAAGAAAAGTTAAAGAAGGAGAAGAATGAATCTGCCCACTTGATTACTAATGCCAAGTTGAGTTCCTTTAGAGGAAAATGGAAGCCTAAAGGGTCGAATGCTTATGCCCTAAAGAAAGATCAAGGCTTCAAGAAAATTGGCAATAATGGGAAACATGGAGATAAGAATTTTAAGTGTTTTCATTGCAAGAAGTAGGGTCATAAGAGAGCTGATTGCTACAAGTTCAAAGCTTGGCTAAAAGCAAAGAAAGAAAGTAGCCAAGGTGAGTTGTTGGTTTGTTCTAAATCAAATATGGTTGATGTTCCTTTGGATTCTTGGTGGATTGATTCTGGTGCTACTGTACATGTGACTACTACCTTACAGGGTCTCACAAATCTAAGGAATCCAAGTCCGAGGGAGTTGAAGCTTAAAGTTGGAAATAATATCGGTGTTGATGTGGAGCATATAAGGACATTAGTTTTGAATTTAGACTCTGGATTTCAGCTAGTTCTGAATAATGTCTTTTACGTTTCTGGATTTAGGAGGAACTTGATATCTCTTTCTTTGCTTGACAAGGCTGGATATTGCCTTTATTTTGCAAATAATAGAGTGGATTTGTTTTATGACTCTAAAATTATTGGGAATTGCATTCTGTTTGATGGATTATATTGATTATCTTTATCTCCCGATAGACCATATTGTTCCTTCAACATTGAGAATAATGTGGCTAAAAGATCCTTGATCATGGAGAAATCTTCTTTGCTATGGCACAAACGATTAGGGCATATCTCCAAAGAAAGGGTAAATCGGCTTATGAAAGCTGATATCCTTTCTCCTCTTGACTCAGATGATGCTAAGATTTGTATTGATTGCGTGAGGGGAAAGTTGACTAAAGTCAAGAAGAAAGGCGCTACTCGCAATCAAAATCTGTTGGAGATAATTCATACAGATATTAGTGGGCCATATTCAACCACCTTGTGTGGAAATAAGTATTTCATCACCTTTATTGATGATTTCTCCCATTATTGCTATGTTTACTTGATTAGGGAGAAGGTTGATGCTCTTGACATGTTGAAAGTATTTCGCACTGAAGTTGAGAAACAATTGGGAAAGATAATCAAGATTGTAAGATCTGATCGTGGTGGTGAATATTATGGGTGATATACTGAGACTGGACAGCAAATGGGACCATTCGCTAAATATTTACAGGACTGTGGTATCGTCGCTCAGTATACAATGCCTGGGAGTCCTGAACAGAATGGTGTAGTTGAGCGGCGAAACCGCACACTCATGGAGATGAAACGAAGTATGATGAGTAGATCTAATATGCCTGAATACTTATGGGGTGAGGCAATTAAAACAACAGCTTATATATTGAATCGTGTACCCAGTAAATCAGTGCCAAAAACACCTTTTGAGTTATGGACGGAGAGAAAACCAAGCTTGAACCACTTTCGAGTTTGGGGGTGTCCTGCAGAGGTGAAAATTTATGATCCTTCGCTGAAGAAGACTGAACCCAGGACTACTAGGTGTTACTTTATTGGATACCCTAATCATTCTAAGGGGTATAGGTTCTATTGTCCTACTCGTGGCACTAGAATTGTTGAGTCTCAGACTGCTAAATTCCTGGAGTTGGATGTTGCTGAAGAGAGTTCCTCTCAATCCTTTCAAAGTGAGGAACCAAACAATACAGTCTCTATTTCATTGCCCATTTTAAACGATGACTCCGTGCGAGAGATTTGCAGAGAGGAAACCCAGCAAGAAGTAGATATTGGAAATATGACGATAGACCATTCTGTTATGGAAGAAACTCCCCAGATGAATGATCCAGCTCCAGAAGTGCCTGTGTGAAGATCACAACGACAAAGAAGACCGACGCTTTTGAATGATTATCATGTCTATCTTGGAGAAACTGATTTTGACATTGGACATACAGTTGATCCGGTGACCTTCAAAGAAGCTCTTGATAGTGATCAGGCAGATAAATGGTTAAGAGCGATGAAGAATGAGATGACTTCCATGTCAAATAATCAAGTATGGGAACTCGTTGATCTACCTGATGGGCACAAACTAATTGGCTGCAAATGGGTATTTAAAACCAAGAAAGACAATAAAGGTAACATAGAGAGATTCAAGGCAAGATTGGTTGCGAAGGGATTCACACAGAGAGAAGGCATTGATTACACTGAAACCTTTTCTCCCGTGTCCACTAAAGACTCTTTTCGAATAATTATGGCATTGGTGGCTCATTTTGATTTAGAGCTTCATCAGATGGATGTCAAAACAGCTTTTCTAATTGGAGATTTGGATGAAGAAGTATATATGCAGCAACCTGAGGGGTTTAAAGAAGCTGGAAAGGAGCATATGGTGTGCAAACTTCGAAGGTCTATATATGGTCTCAAACAAGCATCACGTTAGTGGTACTTGAAGTTTGACAGAGTTGTGAGATCGTTTGGCTTTGAAGAAAACAAATTTGATCAATGCATCTACATGAAAGTAAGTGGGAGTAAATATATTTTCTTAATACTTTATG